ATTCCTTGTTAAGTAACAGCTGCATTAGTCTTGCAAAACCTATGACTTACCCATTGTTACTCGATTTTTTTTTGACATCTTCCTGTGCTTCCAGCAACCATTAGAGTTGAATTCATGAGACATCTGTTGTTATAGTTACCTCTGACTGCAACCTGTTTTATTGCATAATATTTTTGGAGGAAAAAAAATTACATCTCGAGAGCCAAACTATCTGTGGAAGTTTCTGAGCGAACCTTGCATATCATTTCAGAACAGCTGACCCAGTTCGCCAGGATGAGCTGGAGGCAAAAAAGCCTGGCAGCAGCTTCAGCAGTGCCAAGAGTCAAGCCTTCATGAGAGAAATCAATGACACTAGAGGCAAGGAGCGAAATAGCTAAAGGGTAATTCCTTTCTCGAGGAACACAAGAACAAAAAGAATTTACATGGCGTTAGGAGTCTCCCCTTTTTGAAGTCCACCTTTTCGACCGTGCTTACAGTCAGCTCCCCCACCCCCCAGGCTCGGAGTCGGGCTCCGCCACTGTTAAGCGCTCTGAGACACAAGTTGTTGTAGTCTACATTGGGGTTTAAAATGCAGCATTTGTGAGTTAGAAGTCTGTGCCTTAAGGTGACCTCTCTCCATCAATTGTAACATCTTGAAGGACTTGCTAACATGTTTTGCTGAAAAAGAACCCCAATTATGAGCAAAGAGCAATTTGTGGACTTATGTCAGACTTTTCTGACAGACTTTCTTACAGCTGACCGGGGTGATAATACCGTCAAAAAAAAATGTGGTCGGTCACTCCTTCCATGACTGTTTGTGGGACACTGCTGTGTGCAATTGGCTGCCATGCTTCGCTCGCAAATTACAGTCACTACACTTTACAGTAAATCCTGTAAAGCGCCTTGAGACATCTCAACGACTTGATAAGTTGCTATATCAAATGAGTGAGTAGTTTTCAAGTACCTCTATTCTCGACCAATGCAACATGGGACAAAAGTACAGACAGCTGCCCAAAATTACAGGCAGTTCCTATTCCTTTATTCCTATGCAGTGAAATTTTATGTGGACGTAACTGTAGCCTTTGAAAACAAAACCATCAAGTAGACTTTTCCACTAGGTTATTGCATTGGCACTTTTCAAATAGCCTTAATTATTTCCTGAACGTTTCTAAGTTTGCCTAATGAGCTGAGCTGTAGAAAATGAACTAGGACATTTATTTTGGGAGAGATTTATGAAGCCGGGTGTAGAGTCAGCCTAGTTTAAGGAAACATCAGGTTCTGATTCTGACATAATTATGATGGTCACATCATCAGACGAGATCCAGTCCAGTCACCATTCATCACGGCTTGGGACAAATGGAACTGAGTGATTGTGATTAATCATCCCTTGAACAATTACGAATTCTTCTTTGTGTCATCACATTTTTACATTTACAAAGGAGGATGTTGGATCAAAACTTCCCATGTTGAAACCCAAGAAATGATGCCGCAAAGTTTGATATTCAGTTCTTTGTTGCAATTCATCATGCTTCTAGACTATTAAGTTATTCTTTCAGAACTGTGTAATCATTCACTTGGCACTTAATAGAAAGTAGATTCAAAGTCTGATAGTTTGGGCAAGGTATGAGTGATAAATAATGAGGTGCTCCAAAAATAGACTGCTCGAAGTTGTAAAGATTTTAAATATCCTAAGATCATCATTAATAATTGCTGGATGACAATTAATGTTAAAGACACAATGATTGTTCTGCTAAATGCCGTGTTGATTTGGCATATTTGTGGCCTGATGAGGAGGCTTTTATGAGTGAGGAAACATTGCTTCGATCACACATTGTTCAGCCAAATCTTGTACGTGAGATGCCTTCCATTAATAATATATAATATTATTATGATAATATTATCATTACAGTATAATCATATTTTCATGACTCGTGTAAGCAATAGAAATAAAATAAACCTTTACAAAGTTTACAAAGAAATACCTCACTGGTGATATAAATCTCTCGTGCTCCTGGCTTATTAAGTCTGAATCATTGCTGTGGGGTGAGCAGATGGGAGATTGCTCTTAGAGTTGATTTTGATTTGTATTTGGATGATAGATGCAGTTATGCAAGAACGTTGGCTGCAATCCACCTGTACTGTTAAGGATCAGGTCTTGAACACAACGTGCACTTGAGAGCTGGTGAACTTGGGGAGATGATGTTTTGGCCAAAGTAATTCCCTGCATGGACAAGAGTAACATCAAAACTTAGATTTTTAATCATTGGAACAATTAATGTTTGATAAATATTGAAAGAATTCTCAGTTATACCTTTAGAAAGATTGCAGTGCAACTACGTGACATTTCAAGACAGATCCACAATGTCAAGAGTTGAATTTCGAACAGCCGGGAAGACTGCTCACAGCTTTAGTAATACAATAATAATCCTTGCATTTGATATAGCTCCTTATCATGTCTTCAAGGAATAACTTAACAAGTAATTCACTTGAGCAGAGAGAAGCCACAATTTAACAAGAAAGCTGAAACTGGACTTTCATTTAGAGAACAGCGAAGGTGTGGTTGAAGATATATAGATATGCTAAACTGATAACCTGACCCTGGATTAACTTGTCACGAGCGCTTAAGTCATCATGCTGTCAGTATCCCGGCCCCATTTACTTATGTATTTATACTTTTGACTAACCCGCCACCCTGGATAACTCTTGAGAACGTGCTTTAGGCAACATATCTTCAAGTCACTGCAATATAGAGTGAATGTAACGGGTGCAAATTGATTCTAGCTCTGCCCATTTTTATAGCATTTGCTGAAAAATCATGTTGGGAACATAATGAAAATCTCAGTTGGCACAAATTTGCGAGACATCACAGTGCCTAGTTATTTGCCATTACTTTTCTTTAGACGATTTGCTTCTGGTAATCCAGCAATGGCTATGTTGTAGCATGATATACTGCATCCATGAACCAACACGTTATCCACGAGGGAGGGATGGGGAATGAGTTGCTTCTGAGCAAACATTCTCTTTAAGTGCATGTTCCTATTAATTGGTGTGCCCTGTACTATGCAATATATGCTGAAATTGAAAATAATGAGTGTTTTTTTTTTACACATGAACAGAAGTAATTGCTTTGGTGCTGAAATGAAATTAACAGACCGAGTTAAGCATGCATGATTATATGCAGGACTTTAAAAAATGTTTGGGATTTAAATGTTCAGTTTAAGTAATATTCGTCAGGATGTGTGGAAAAACTAGAACTGGCTAAACCACTGAGAAGAGCTGTTGAGGCTTATTGGGTTGTCTTGTTTCAAGAGTCTGGAGGTCTCGATTATTCTTACCTTATTTTGGCCATTCATGGCCTAGATCCTGGACAATTGTTTTCAGTTATAAACGCTCCGAGACGCTATCCTGTGTGAAGGGCACCATATAAATTTAAGTTGTTGTGGTTGTTGTCCAGTTGTGCCCTGGCATTTGATGTAGCGCCTTATCAGGTTGAGACGTCTCAAAGCGCTTCGCAAGAAATACTCTAAAGTGTAGTGACTGTGCATTTTGTGGGCAAAACGCGGCAGCCAATTGCAATATTTGATCCTGATTGGCTAATCCCGTTACCTGCCCGAGCCTGAGCCCCTGATTGGCCAGTCCCTTTGCTGGGCAGAGTCCAAGCCACCGGTGACTGTGTCCTGATTGGCTCGTGGCCTGAGGTGTCGCCTCCATTTGCTCGTCGGACAATGAGGTTGGTAATTGGTCCGTGGGCCGGATGCGGCCCATGGGCCGCCAGTTGCATCATGGTGGGGTCGAACATCTGTCTCGGAACAGTATTGGAGGATGTAAAGAATGGTATGGACTAAATGGGATACCTTACAGGACACAAATTCTGTGCTGCTTGGGCCTAAGATGGGTTGGGTGGGAGGTGGGAGGGGGCTTATGGAGAAGACGGGTATGTTTCCTGTTGCGGGGGGAAAGAGATGTGATTTTATTACCTTTGTGGATCAGGGAGCATCTGGGCAGGTTTTTTTTTTACCCAAAAGATAATTTTCTGAGGTTTGCGAAAGGAGCGAGCTTGAAAAACCTTTTCTCGTTCCGTTTTGTCTTTTGCTCTTGTACATTTATGATTAGTTTTTTTTCAGGAGAGGTTATACAATATGTAGAAAATGTGCAGAAGCGATCCCTTGGTACTTGGAGGGTTAACGTCTCCAAGCCTTTTTTTTAAAAAAAGCTCCAGCTCTGTTTAGTTCAATGAGCCCAGCTCGCATTTAAATTGGTGTTTAATCTCAGTCTGATTGTGCACAAAGAATGGGTTAATTTACATGATTTTAGATTACGTGCTTGTTTTATTGTAGGAATCTGCATTTGCTATTATTTGATATACCTTACAGATGTAACTCAATGCACATTTCCTTGTATTAATTCAATTATGCAAATATCATACTTTGAGAATCTGCTTGATGACGGCAGACGCAGCTGAACATTATTAGCGGTGTAGGCTGTCAAATGATCATGTGGGATTCTTGCAGCATACAACATTCAATGGGATAAAAGCAGCTTGATGCAAGACACAGACCTAGCCATATTTATGGTTTACGTAGCTAAAACAAGCAAAAGAGAAATGCTTCCTCACTTTCCCTCGGGTTTGTTTCCCTTTGGCTTGACTAGAAGATGCATCTGGTACATGCACAATTGAGGATATTAATGATAATATCATTCAAATCACATGCAGCTTCCATTCCTTAGAGTCGCAGCTAGTCGCAGATGACATATGATCACTCATTCATTCAGTCATTCATTCACAGGCAACCACGCATCCTCCCTCTTCAAGTTACATCATGTCAGTTTTGTTATTTAAGCATAGGTCCCGTTTCATTTCGTTTTGCTCTTCATTAACTTCAGTTCTGTGATTACATTTACCATATAATTTGATTAGTTTGCTGCAGCATGATGATGATGATGATGATGAACAAGCTGACTAAAACTGCTGCTGTGATGGGTTCCAATAATGGTCGCTATCTTCCGGATTCTTTCTACAGTGACTGCATCATCGAGGAGAAAACAGTGGTCCTGCAGAAAAAAGACAATGAAGGCTTTGGCTTTGTGCTTCGTGGGGCGAAAGGTAAGCAAAGGAAAAAAGCCTCTCCTCAGTGTCGATTTCAGCTATTGCTCGAATGAGAGTAACAATGCTATACACAGGGCTGCTGTACAAATCCTTATGGAGACAGAAGCTGCTGTCTGTTTGACTGGGGTTTAAATGTATTTGCCTTGCTTTGCAACCCAGTACATGCAGTCAGCGTTACAATCCAAATGAAATCTGTTCTGCAAGTGGAGAAGATGGAGGCTTTACGTACACTCAATAATAATTGTTTTCTTGTGTGTGGGGGGGGAAAAAAAAGAGAAAAGGAAAAATGTGTTCGCGACATGGAATGTAACACATGCTGACAACTAATTCTGGCATTGTATTTGCATGTTTACTATAGCTGATACACCAATTGAGGAATTCACACCAACCCCAGCCTTCCCTGCTCTTCAGTACTTAGAGTCAGTAGATGAAGGTGGAGTAGCATGGCAAGCAGGATTAAGAACGGGTGATTTCTTGATAGAGGTAGGCCAATAATTATTGAATGTATTTTAACATTTTTTTAAAAAAAAGAAAATAACTGCATTTCCTCTGTCTCTTCAAGTGACAATTGTGGTTGCTTTGCTGGTGACTTGTTTCCTGGTGAATGACTTAATAGAAATAGGTGCATTATTTTATTCTTAAGTAAACGTTGGCTGTATTTTGCAGCTTAAGGCAAAATCTGAGGCAAGTTTGGTCTCTCTGCTTTAAGAGGAGTTGACGCATCAGTTTGCAATGTATTTACATCAGGCATGACATCAGATGGCACTAAGTTATTTTACTGATGCAGCTTAAAAATATAGTCACTGTGTGCTGATAAATATAGAAACACAGATACATACATATATATACACACATCTTTCATATTTCATAACAAAAAAGAATATTCCATGGTGTCAGCTTAGACTTATCGAAATCGTGACCTGACTTTATATTTAATCTTTTTACTTGCACGTTACTGAAATAGCACTTTCCTTATTGTGTAAGCTTCAAGTTGGATGTCCTGGTAAAGCTGTCATTTTGACCCTCTCCCCCCCCCCTTTTTCAGGGGAAACATAGCTCAGTTTGATTAGAAACGCATGCTGTACTACTAAACCGAGTACAACATTGTGTTTGAGGTACCTTGAATGGTTGGAAACTCCTTGAAAGTTATTTAATGTATGAAAATGCTTAATGTGCTTAAAAGCTACCCTAACGCATGCCTTTGCACTGCTAAAACATTTGATCTGCAGTGCAATGGAAACGAGTTGGGATCATTTGACTGGGTGTTGAGATGCCTGCCTAGAAGTTAGGAATAAGAAGAAACTTATAGGATCTGGGATAAGTTCATTAAAAAGCCTCACTGCATTACTTTAATTGTGCATCTCTTTTACCGTACATTGATACGTTATATCTTGAATCGAACATAATTAATTTGACAACTTAGTTTTATTATGAACCATAATCGTTGCTGCTGGTTGCAAGTCATTGTTAAATCACTGAGAAGTTCATAGGAAGTTTGCTCATCCCAGTGGCAATTGGAAAATCTTACGAATATTGCATGAGTCTCATAGGTGACTTTTTTGTGTTTAATTGATTTCACTGCATTAAAGCTGCCTTTGTTCTTCTTACAATTTAGCTGAAAGTCTGGCCTACATAGTTGTTGGGGCATTTCAGCTATTGAAACTATTTTGAGTGGTTAATCGGTAACATAAGTAATGTGTGTGTGGTGTGCGCATGTGAACTTGTCATCTCATTAATTCATCACTTTGATCATTTTCGAGGTACAATACTTGTTTTGTCATTGCATTACGTTCTTTGCTGGAAATCACGTGGCAAATCAATCAGCTTTTCAGTTGTTTCTACTTATAGAGTTAACAGCAAGTAGATGAGCTGGGTCGTTGGATTGATTTAGATTTGTAAATTGTAGTACATTGGGAGCTAGATTGGTAAACTGTCTAAAACAACGTACTGAATCTCTTTACCTTCTCCAAACAACGTGTAACTATTAAAAGTAGTTTATTTTTGAGCCAGACCTGTTGCTGATTTTACAGCCTCCTTAATTCAGGATGGTTTCTTACCAAAGGATAACATCAGATAACCTTTCTTTAAAATATCAGCTGCTCCCCATTGAAGGCATTTGATGCTCAGTTTAGTATTCACATGAGATGTGATGCATTATATTGGACTCATTTGTTATATGATCTTTATGTGGTTATAAAACAAGATTTTTCTTCATAATAATCATCAATGACACATTGTGTAAATTGTTCTCTGATGGTAAGCACAGGCCTGTTCTTCCTCCATTTATACGAACATTTTTATCTGTAGTGTTTTTTTTTTGGTCTCACTGCCACAGATGAAATGTCGTCCCTCTTTTGCTGCTACATTGCAAACTATTTTAGTGTTTCTGTGCTGTTGAATTATTTGTTGACATGGTGACAATGTACACGAAATCTGCCTGCAGCAAAATTGCAGTGTTGTATGGAGCTTTTACTGACTTGTTGTGATGACCTTAAAGCAATTTTGTGTAGATCCTGTATCCAAGAAATACATTAGTGATTTTAATGTGCTAATTTAGAAGGAAAAATAATACACATAAAAATACTTAGCCTAGGCCTTGTTCAAATTTCTTTTCTACTTTAAGACTAGAATGATACTTGTACAAAATGAAAATGCAAACAATTAATGTGAATTAATTAATCTGCAGAATTTTTTAACCAGTAATCTGCAGTAGATATCGATTCAGAACTATATTGGTTGTGTCCTCTTGAAAAGAAAAAGTGGTGGTTAGCTTAGAAAATACATAGTCTATTTAAACACTGTTTAAATAGTGGAGGCATCAATGCTACAGATTTTGATTGTATTGTGTAATAGGAAACAAGGAATTTGAAAAATTGAATGTTTTGGGGCTGCCCAAAATGCTAAAGTGATGTTTCAACACATTGTGGGAAAACAGCCCTAATTCAATACATAACCACATTAGAGTATGGCACCCATTCTAATTTTAATTGCAAGTACAATACATTCCTTCCAACAATTGTGTTGGAAATAAGAACATTAAGCACAAAGATGACAACTGAATACAGATGAGTACAGTGGAACTCATTTCTTACAAGCTTCATTACAATACAGCTTTGTTTATAGCATGATTGGGGTGTGGACCCCCCTGACACCTAATTAGCAAAGTAATGCAAAAATGCTCCTGGAAAAATGGCTCACTTTAAAACTTATGACCCAGAAATCAGTCATTTTTTAGCATATCAGGCGGCTTTCTGCATGAAAGCAGACCCAGTGAATGTAGGGCTGACACCCTGTTGGAACGCAGGTTGGGATTTTATTGACCCATCTCCTCCAATTACCTTGTTATAATGTGGCTCTGTTGCATTTGAAGACAATGCAAGTGTTCAAAATCTTTATACAGACATCTCTTTGACAAGATATCTTAATACAATTATCACCATTGAACAGTCTGACCCCAAAAATGACATTACAGTAATATAGAAATGCATTGTTCGAATGCTGTAGTTTGATCACTTAATTTTCTCGCATTGCTCAGGGGCTACTTTGCTTATTCATTGACCTATCACAATGCGAAAATCATGTTAACTACAGCCACTTATTGTCATGAATTGCATAGAACAATTTAGTACCATTTATTACAAGCACTTTTAGACCTGATATTACTTTCTCCACCCCACTTCTCTAATGTACTGCAGTCCCATTCCCTCTGCTCCGCCATCTTGGGCCGGCTACACGTCCTCTGCAACACCATTACAAGGCGAGCTTTCAGTAACTTTGCTCCGCTCTTAGAAACCCCCTCCGCCTCACAACCTTCCTTTCTGCTTTCAAAGCCTTTCTAAAAAAAATGTTGTCTGTGACCTCTATCACCTGTCTCCCTGCTCGCCATTTCCTACAACTCCATCACTGCAAATCACTTCAAGACATCCTATGTGAAAGGCGCAATATAAGTGCAAGGTGTTGTGGAAACTGAAGGAGCTTATATGACTTCTATGGCTATGGGATATAGATATAACAACAACTTGCATTTAAATCGCACCATTCATGTGGGGCAGGATCTCAGAGCGCTTGTAATATATAGTAATTAGATTATAGTATACATTTGTAGTATGTAGTATTTATCATGTGTGTGTATATATATACACACACATATCGTGGGTATGTATATATATTTAGACTATGCACATTTCAGTAAATCTGCAGTTATTCGGCACTTTCTATTCTAAATTGTTTTATGGTGCAGAGAAATCTAATCCTATTAAGAAAAATCTAATGAAAGGAACGGCAACAGAATGGAGTGCAAAGAGTAATATTAAGCATCTGTGTATGTAAATGTTTCTGTTTGAAAAGGTCATTGCCTGAAAGCAAAAAAAAAACAAGAGAGTTACTGAAAGATTTTATTGCTCAGCAAATGATAATTGAAATGATTTGGGGGAAAAAAAATGTTTAGCTTTTGTTACAGGGGCTTATTTAGCACTGCAGCTAGAGTAGTGACAGAGCAACAGTCACCTAGCAACATCCATTTAATTGCACTGATAATCAAGTTGCATAAATAAGCATTTCCCATAAACACAAAATCACTGTTGCCGCTTTTCAACTATTTCATTCAAAGTGCTGATTTAAATCTCAACATATTTAGTGCGACGAGATTACGAGGTGTCTTGTACATTGAAACACGAACTCCAGGAAGCCTGGCTACAAATCCCATTTGTACAAATACACAACTGTGAATTGGTTTGCGGGCACGAGGTCAATCGATAGAAGGAGAGCGCTTGGCCACTGAAGCTAAAAGGCCATTTTAGAATCTGACACAGAGACTTGTTTAGAATTCTCATTATATTGTGATGAATATGACTTTGAAAGCAATATTTGAAAATGCGCATTTTATTAAAATAGAGCACGCTCAGTTTGCTGGGTTTAACAAACGTGGTCGAACTACCGTGACAAGTGCGGTCTCCTTCAGCTTGAGTCCTTTGCTATTAAAAACATCCCGTTTCCAAATAATTGACTAATTAGTAAAACGATCTGATCTTGACAAAGGTGGTATTATGGCATCTTTACAAATATTGTATTTTGCTCACAAGATCCCTCGATGACAGGCCGGACCAGAATCAATAATAAAAAAATAAGAATCCTTGCATTTGATAAAGCACCTTCTACGTCGGGAGGATGTCCCAAACCGCTTCACAGGATGTACTGTAAAATTAGTGACTGTGTATTTTGTAGGTGAATGCAACAACAACAGCTTGCATTTATATAACTTCCTTCACTCAGGATAGTGTCGCGAAACGCAGCAGGCAAATTGCTATCAGAAATGTCCCACCAATAGCCATGAAGTGAATGACCATTTTCTCTGAAGGAATACTGGGCCAGGACACTCCATTCTCTTTTTGAAAAGTCCCATGGGATCTTTAACGTCAATCTGAACACCGAGATGGGACCTCAGGTTAATGTCTCACCTCCAACAATGCAGTGCCCCCCCCACA